TTACATATCAAATTCCGGTAAATGCCTCCCAAATTCAAGTAGTAGATACATTTACATATCTGGGGGTAGTGATATCAGCACGAGCTACGGTGTATATTACTCTTAATCTTGAGCCGTTACTGCATAGATTTAAACAAAAATTTAATAGTTGGAATAAGCTTCCACTCACGGTGATCGGAAGAGCTAATTTAATTAAAATGATATGGTCCCCTCAATTATTATATATATTACATAATTCCTCTACATGGATAACATTGCAATGGTTTATTTCAATAGACACAATATATAGGAACTTAATATGGAAAAAAAAACATTCCCGAATAGCATTAACAACTTTGCATTTACCAAATGATAGGAGGGGAATTGCCATTCCCCACCCAAGAATATATTTTTTAGCAGCACAATTACAACAAATGGCGGGATGGGGGGAAAAAGTATGGTAAGATCCGGTCCAGGCAATTATACTTTCGGTATTCTCTAGATACTCTATTATATCACAGTTAGAAGCAGGTATTATTTCTACACGGTCGGTATATTGTAAATTTTCCTTGATGTCCAGGGTATGGAAAGTTATGAAGGAGGTCATGGGATATGAGGGGTGTACTTCCCTTACGCCTATTTGGTACAATCTGAAATTGATAGAGTAGTCCAAAGTTCGGTATGCCCAATTCTCATTTCTTTAAATTTTTGCAATTACGACATGCCTTAGAGGCTCAGCGGCGAATATGTCCGTTGAGCTTTATGAATACCCCGCTGGTACATATAGTAGCAAAATCTAACTATAAGAAAGGGTTTATATCTAGAGTATATGATATTTTAATAAGGGCTTGGGCCAAAGATAGGATGCTGTCGTGTAGGCGAGGATGGGAGGAAGATCTGGGCCCACTTTCAGATGAAGAATGGTCAGTCATATTGGCAAATATCCCTAGATCATCTCTCTCGCCTACCCAGCACCTTACTCAGTTATTTATAGTTCATAGAGTTTACTATACCCCTCAGAAACTTTTTTCGGTGGGGTAGACGAGATACAGGGGAATGCCCTAGATGTAAAGGTACTAATGCCAACCTGATCCATATGTTATGGAGATGTCCCAAATTATTTAGGTACTGGGAAGATATTATCAGATTGATTAACCAAGTGTTTGATATTTTATTGGAGATGGATCCCAGGCTGTGTTTACTGAATTGTGAGGAGGGGGAGGGACAGGATCGGGGGATTGGCGACATTAAAATAAGATTGCTGGGCATAGCAAGGAAATTGATTGCCTTTAGATGGTTGTCTCCTAGGCCACCCATATTAGAGGAGTGGTGTATTCAGGTTAACCAAATATTATTGAAAGAAAGAATGATCTTTATACTAAATAAATGAATAAATAAATAAATAAATAAATGAAATAGACTAAAAATATTAGAGGAAGGGGGTAAGGAGGTGAGAAATAATGACTAAAGAGTCAAAAAATGAAATAAAGAGGAATTTAAAAAAAGAGCAGCATGCCACTGACCCCCTCTTTCCCTCCCGGCCGTCCCCTCCGGAACAATTTGCTCTCCCACCCACCCATTTATTGGAGTGCACTCAATGCACCTTTTTTCTTTTATTTATAATGAAGCTGTCTTAACTCAATGTACAGTAAGACATGCTATAGCACAGTTAACGTGTGTGCATTAACGCTTCAGTGTGAATGGGACCTTAAAGTGATATTAATCCTTGCGTTGTTTGGGGTTTTTTTAATCACTGGGAGGCCACTGTAAAGGAGAACTTTGTTTTTTTTTTAAATTCTTTAGTTCCTTGTTTTCTAGTGGGTCTCCATAGTGTTCACACCCGCCCCCTGCATGGGTGCCTTAATCAGCTAAGCAGCTGCTGTGGAGGCACCTGTGTCATTCCCGGCCGTGCCCGCAGTAGCTGCGTGCGTCCGAAGACATACAAAGCCCTGCAGCAGGCCACGCCCCTCCGCTCAGCAGTTTGATTGACAGAAGAAAAAGCCAATGGCTCCTCTGCCTTCAGTATCCCCCCCCCCCACCAGGAAGTTCGAAATGGAGGATCGCTTTGGGGACCGGTGGCGGTGACAATTGGCACTGACAGGTAAATGTGGGGGGAGGGGGACACTAAGAGTTACTGGGTGCTTTTTACATTAAAGCAGAGAATATATTAAGGTAAGCCTTTGGTAATACTTTAACATAACACCCTCTCCTATTGACAGTATTGATAGTATTGATACTATGCAATGAAAAGGTTATAAAGTACACCCATGCAGTGAAAAGCAACAATTACACTTTAATGTTGGTCCTTGAAGCTGCTTATACTTACCTTCACTTCACTCCCCTTTTGACCTAAACACCTGGAGAAGTGAAGTGAGATACATACTATTTAAAGATATGGCGTAACAGTTCTGGTACTGGTCACTTAAGCGCTGTAACAAGAGGGTTAGCTAAAACCTTGGCTCTATGTAGGCCCTGAGTAGATCAACTTGCAGTTTGCACAGGGCTTCTTCTCCTTGCTCATGTGGGCAATTGAAGCAGCAGTGAAATGAAGGGATAGTAGGTATAAGCTGTTGTGAGGTATGAATTCTGAAGTGAACATTTTGTTTTGCCACTATACGAATTAAATGTCATTAGACCAGAATGAAATGAATTGTGATTCGTTAGTAGGGGTAACAGTCCTTTACCTAAAGTAAAACTAAACCCTCCTATTTTATCCACCAAGAACAGCAACTGCAGTTGGCATGGTGCTGCACACATGAGTAGCAATTACATTATTCTTTTGAGGCTTGAATGATTATTTGAGAAATGACATAAGCACACTAGCAACTGTGACAGTTATCACCAGAGACATAACTTGAGTGTAGCATACACTCCACATGCACTAGTAGGCAGCATGTAAATTAAAGCAATGCACAAAGCAATTGATCACAAAGGACAGAGTAGACTCCAGCAACTGTTCATCTACTAGCTTGGAAAAGGGAGGAGGGAGGAGAGCGGGCCAGCGGAGAGGGGAGTAGCTTGATTTGCTTTGTCTGTGTGTTTGTGGAGACACACAGCTTATTAGCACACACAAGGCACTCTGCTTGAGAAAGGAGTCTCTAAAACAGAAAGTCAGGACCAGTGCTCAGGGGACCAGCTGATTATGCAGGAAACTAAAATATTTGAACATCAAGGAGCAGCATCCATTGTAAGTGATTTCATCAGCATCTGAAATAGCTTTAAATCCTTTTGACTTTAATATCACTTTAAATAATTAACATCAGATGTTTAGTCTGAGTGCGTTCAAAACATAATCATTAGAACTGGGTTTGTCTCGTTCAGTTTGCTCATTTGTAATTTCTACTCCATAGAATATTGGTTTTCCCAGTCCCTCCTATCTCTGCTGCTTGGTTGTGTAGCTAGCCCATTATCTTTACAATGCAACTCAACTTCTGATGATAAAACACACTCATCTTTCGTTGATCAACATACTGTATATTGTAAGAATAGCAAACCTTCTTTCTGTTTTAAAGAAATTTCTGTTTGTTTTACTATGTCCTCATCAGAACCGTCTGTTCTGATGAGAAAAGCTGCTGTGCTTGCATCCCTTTAATAAACAAGCCTTAGAGAATATCTCACCAAGGCTGAAATACCTACTGCAGGGGATGCCTTAAAATGCTTTGTGCATTAGACTTTAGAACTAGTGCAGAAAATCAGAGAGCCAATCACACAAGCAAGAACATTCCTGATGCCATTTTGTATACCAATGGAGTACAATCGCCTCCAGGATGCAATATTGCAGTTTGAATTACAGTGGCTGCAGAGTAAAAATGAAAAGTTAATTTAATATTATTATTTAAAATAAGATTAAATTACAAAATGGCTTATGTAGCAATTATACATGCCATTTTTTAAACGAAAGTGGAGTTTTCCTTTAGGGCCATACAGTAAGGTTGGAGTTGGTATGAGCCAACTATTATCTTTCCTTTCCCGGGGGTCCTAAAGTGCTCAAAATAAGTTTACAAATTGTGGCCAGCACCTCAGCAGCCACAATCCCCACCCAAGCCTCCTTACATGATTACGGGCCTGTATTGTTGGGATTTGGGTTTGTGTCAATGGACAAACACAGCTTACTCTCAGGTGTGTTCTGCGTGCATTCGTCAATAGTTTTAGGGGATTTTGAGGTAATTCAGAGTACATTGGCAGGTGCCTTTGAGCTGCAATTGACCTCCTTCTGGCCTACATTTGACTACCTTCTAAGCTACATAAATCTGCTTCAAACTGCTTTCACCTTCCCATTGACTTGTATGAGGAGAGAAACAATTCAGAAGTGAATAAAAGTCCATAAACATGGGTATTGATCTAATCAAAAGACATATAGCTAGCATATGATATCAGAACTTTTATTTTATGTACATACTGTATATCTAAATTGTGTTTTCTCTTTTTATTGTCAAAATAAAGTAACAAGAGAAGCCTGACCCCTGCCCATGGTCATGCAGTAGCTCACCAGCATTTAACATATTAGCACCAAGTCTTTTTTCAGATGTGTAAAAATGTTTTTACTTGTGCTAACTGGTCATTGGACAGTAAGCTGACAGATGACACAAGATTCTGAAAAAGCTGCAATAGGAGGTACTGTCACTTTCTTAGCTATCCAGTGTGGCAGAGTTGTGTGATTAACAAGACTAAGGAGAATTATAACTCATTTCGCAAGTAAAACAATTAACATAATAGGTGCTTGGGTTTCATTTCAATAAGAGATTTGAGGCATAAGTTATTAATGATCTGATTTTATAGAACGTGACTCTATTAATATTTAGGGCACAATGTTGTAACAAAGGTAAATAACATAATAAAAAAATCTGTACCTTGTTTCCACACATTTAACTATTTATAATAAAATTAAATATCAAAACCAAATTGGCAATGGATACCTTCCTAGCAGCTGTATATAACCGTTTTCTTTTTTTTTTTTTTATGCAATTTGAAATTAAACATATTGATTAAATGTAAACAGCCATTTGAAAATGTACACTTACCCTAAAGAACTCTTTGGTTGACCCTGAATCCAATGTCCCATATGCAATTTCTGTTTGTTTGGAAAGGTCTTCTGCACTTTCAATGGGTGACACCATTCGTTCCACAGTAAGAAAGGCAGCTAAGTTTGCCGTGTAAGATGAAATTATGATCAAGGTAAAGAACCACCACACACCTCCAACAATGCGACCAGATAGGGATCTAACAACAAGTATGAAATTCATGTTTAAAAATAAGTGAGTCTTAACACAGTGACATGATAAAATAAATAAAAATATACATCTACAATCCTGGTTACTCAACCTTTTTGGTTGTTGTCTGCTATAAGATTTACTGTAACAATTTACAGCTTTGCAAAAGAACAAAGGAACTGATATGTTACTGTTAAAGTATAAATCAAGAAATTGCTCAGAATTGCTCAAATTTTGTTTTTACAAATGAAGCAAATTTTTGAAAAGTAGAGCATAAGTTGGTGGTATTGGTATTCTTAAACTCAATATTATGGATAAGGATGCAACTTTGGAAACAACCAACATCTTTACACTTGAGAATTGTTGCCTTGCCTTGGTCAGCACAAACACGTGATAAATCACATCTTCCACTTACACTAAAGGTAAGAGATGTTGCATATTTTACACAGGACTTGCACAGTACAAGATTCAACAATAACACAGATGTAAAATTGTACTTATGTCACAAACAATACCTTCATGTTCCATTACATGGAGTGTAAATAATCTTGCATGTAATGTACCTTTAGCAAAATACATAACTTTGGACATAATTATTAAATTTTATTTGTACAGACTCCTGTGGTGCCCAAATGGAATTGTTTACATCATGCTTGTTGCCATGTGGGAACTGTACACACAATGGAATGTTACATTAACATTCCATTGCCAAATCTCTATAAGTGTAGAGAGCTGTTGACAGACCTAAAGGAAACAAGCCAAATGTGAACATAACCTACAGGGCAGAAAACATACCACCACATTTAATTTCTTCAGTATTTACATTTTGTCAGAAAGGTGGGCTGTAGTTAAATGTAGACAGACAGACAGACAGACACACACATAAATATATATTCTATGAAGCATTAAGCCAACACTGTAAACATGTTTCATGTTACACAACAGCCGTGAAAACTGTGTCCCTGACCATCTCATTAACATCATTCCATATAGTCACCAGAAAAGTGAACTGCAATGTTCACACAGCACAAGAAGCAGTGTTTGAACCCTGTACATCCACCCAAACTGTCATCAGACTGCTAGCAAGTTGACAGTTAGCTCAGTGAATATAGTACAAGCTACAAACATCCAGGCCAACAAGATAACTGTGAAAAGGTCCTTGGCATGTTCTTACTGATCACCAATAGTAAAGTACATCTAATGAAAACTGAAAAATATTTCTAATCAATACAGCTGGTTCCTGGCCAAGTACACAATCAAACCTCTAAACATTAGGCCTATTCATCAATCTATCAGTCACTGCAATTACTAGTTATATGGCCATCCTTGCTAACATACCAAAGCATTCGATTAAAGGAGAAATTTTGGGAGAGCAAAATGTACACTGCAGCTGTCACGCATCGGCTCTAACGTTTAAGAAGTGAGTGACCACAAACCGCTCAGCTCTGCAGAGAGTGGTGACTGTCCGTCACTGTTCCCCACAGGAATACCCCCCTCCCCTGTCTGTTCCTGTAGCGCTCATTGGAGAAACATAAAAGGGGAGGGGGCAAGCACAGCTGGCTATGGCTCTAGAGAGGCAGAGCCAGCTGTCAATCAGGCAGCAAGGTGGATACTGAATTATTGTCGGGATCTTTCCCAGGTGCAGTGTGGATCTGCACTGTCAGCATATAACAGGCAGTAGCCAAAAATGCCAAAAAAGGTTGGGGCATAGTTCTCTTTTAAGCAGCTAACTTGTAAACATCATAGATTGCATATGATATACTGATACAGGCAGATAATGGCTGAAAAGAGCATTCCTGAGCAAGTTAAATACGTATCATTGGTAGCAACTCAAAATGGTGCTATATTTCTGCTATCCAAGAGCCAGAGCAAATTGTGCTGCACGTCCAGTCTTTTTTTCTGCTTAAAACACAGTTACAATATGTATTTGTGGATAAATCATATTGAATCATATTTCTTTAATTTGTCTGTGTGTTATTTAAACAGCACCATCGGATAGTGCTGAGGGATGTAAACTTTTGCCTGGAGCTGCTCTTTATTAAATTAGTACTAAAACATAGTAGTAAGAACATTAATTTGATGTAGCAACCCATAGTAGCCAGTCAGCAATCACCTTGCAGCCAATTGCTATTCTGTGCCTCTGAAAGCTGACTCCTGATTGGTTGACTTGGATTTCTATATGCTTCTTCTTTCTGTATTACATAAATAACCAAGCTGAGTGTGTGACATTTTTCTAGGCTGCCACTATTACTCAGAGTTTGGTTTTTTATAAGCCAAAATCATAGGAATATGTGTGACCTTTTGCAAATCGTGTATCTAATTAGCTTTTCCTTATTTTGGTGGCTTTGATGTGAATTGCCATTTCCTTTCCACAAGTAGTTAAAATTGTGAGAAGTAGTTTCAAGTTTTATCTTTTCCCTTCCTTTAGTGCGATAGCAAAGAACACAGTATATTTAATTATAGCTCATGCAGTTGCTATGGAAACTATATATTAAAACATTATTCCTGTTCACTTGGCATGAACGTGAGAAAAAGTGCACGCAGCACTGATTCACATGCATATGGTAAACCGCCTTTATGATGGGAATTGTACTTAGCATTTTGGTAATCTTATTAAATATACATTTTTAATGCTGTTTATTACCTATATATACTAATAGTATAACAACATGCGCCACATTTATGACAAGCATTGCATTAGAAACTGTGTTTTTATACACGCGTGTTATCACAAGGTGCCTGCATGTTCATGTGTTTTCGGTACATTTTATGAACATTTTTGCGTGCATTTTGATGCAATTAATGCATTTTTTATGCATTTTTATTTTGGGCAATGAAAGCCAATATCTTCTGTGCGATCATTAGGTATCATCTTCCTTGTGTCTGGTTTCTGGATTTTCTTGAGTCACATCTGCTATGACAGTTTTTTTATATTTTTGGGGGGCTGCCGCCGCAGTGTTGAGCAAGCGAGGAACGAAGAAGAAGCAATGATACTGGATCCATCCAGTGATCACAAATTCTGAAGAAAGAGTCCTGTTCTGGGTCCATGCACATAAGGAAAAAGTCTTTAGTTACATGAGGATGTGGGTTAAAAAGTGAGTTAAAATGCATTTCTTTATAATAATTTTATTGATATTGTTTGACCCTGCCACCTTGCATATGCAGGTAATGGGCACTACCTCATTAGCGACACATGTGCAAGATGATCTTGTATCTAGCTGTTATTGAGCCCTTTTTTTTCTTTCACAGTTTCTTCAGAAAAAGAGTTCCGCCCTTTTAATAGTTTAATAGTCACATTGAGGTAAGTCTATATTCTATTATTATCTGAAAGTGTTTTTGTTTGTGGCATATAATCCCATAAAGCAGGGGTGCCCATTAGGTCGATGGCGTTCTAACAGTCGATCGCAAAGCGATGCTCGGCCAGGATCTGACAGCCGGCAGCTCTCTCACTCACCGCTCGACCATGCTGCTGTGACAGCGGCTCCCTCCACCGCAGCTGAAGTGCTTCCTTCACTTTTCCTCGGATCCCCTGCTGCCTCTGCCTGGGAGAGCAGCGGGGATCCAGAGGAGAAGTTGCAGGCTGAGCCCCCCTGTGTGCGTGGCCGAGCGGAGGAGGATCGGTACATATCAATGATATGTACCGATCTTCTGTGCAGGACAAACACTGGAGCGATCAGCTGATCACTCCAGTGTTTGTAAATAACTGTGGACACATAGTACTATGTGTCCCCAGTTTTGAATTAACAGGAAGTTCTTTACATCACTTCCTGTTCATTCATGAGTTTCTCAATGGGGAGTAGCACTCTGTACAGAGGCTCTGCCCCATTCAGAAACTGGATGATAGTAAATAGTTTCTGAATGAATGGGAACCCTCTGTACGTTCCATTCATTTAGAACAGAGGCTGCAGAAAATGAGATTGAGGACTTTGTGTCCTCAATTTCTATTTTAAAAGGGAAATATCAGGGGGCTGTTTAGACCCCTAATATTTCCCCAAAGCCACCCCAACAGTAAAAAAAATTAAAAAATGTATATTTAAATAAAAAATAAGAAATAATAAAAATAAATAAAACATAGTTTAAAAAATTAAATACTGAATGCAGGGCACTGGGTGATGTCACACCTCTGTTGGGGGGCACATATTTTTTCTTGCCTCGGGCGTAAAAGGAGCTTGCTATGGCTCTGCTCCCGTGGTGCTCGTGTGGCTGCTGGCTGAATGTGTTAGACGCGGCAGACGGAAAGGGGCAGGACACCTCTCCCCGTGTGCAACGTCGGCCACATTTGGCCATACGAGCACCGCGGGAGGAGAGGACACACTGGAATGCAAGCCGGCCGGCTCCCTGCGTTCAGGGGTGGGAGGGGGCATGGGTTTGTATTGAAGTCAATGGCACCGCAGCCATGCTCCCTGCCCACAGTGCGATCGCCCGCATCTGGAACGCAAGCACATTAGTGCATGCATTCCGGTCCAGTGCAATCTGCAAAAATAGTGCTTGCAGCATTTTTGCAGATCGCACTGGCCTGGAATGCAGGCACTAATGTGCCTGCATTCTGGGTGCGGGCGATCGCACTGCGGGTGAGGGGCATGGTGGCGGTGGCATTGACTTCAATACAACCCCACGCCTCCTCCCGCCCCTAAATGCAGGTGTTTTTTGTCGTTGGTAGACCTCATTGAGCTCGACATTTGAAAAGTAGATCTCCAGATGAAAAATTGTGGGCGCCCCTGCCGTAAAGCATATCCTTCTATTGCCCAATCAATGACAAGCAATATACAGACACACATATATAGTACAGAAAGTACCATAACTCTTTATTTTGTTGATAAACATGCAAACAGATTTTTTTTTCAAGAATATTGCCCATAATTCACAAAAGACATATCTGAAAAAGGTATAGAACACCTTTTTGGATATACAGGTTTACAACACTTTATAATATCAAACATTTTTGGGGAAATATATTTTTTCTTCTTTTCTTTAAAAAGTGCAAACAAAGGGCCTCGACTGTGGCCCCCA